TCGGGACCTGCCGCGGCCTCAGACGTCGCGGGCGGGCCTGGGTCTAGAGCTGGGGTCAAGTTGAGCCTTGGGCCCGCCCGCTTCTTGCGGGTATAGACCCGCAGCGGCCACAGCGCCATCCCACCCCCCCGGCCTCGAGAGCCTCCAGCACGCCGCAGCCCGTCGTGTCACGGGGTGGAGGGCAGCATGTGCACGAGGAAAGGCTCCGCCCACAGCGCAGGCGCCTCGCGCGCTCCCGCCTTTTATGCGAGCCGGCCGCGGGGCCTGCTGGGAAGCCCGAGGACGAGGGCAGCGGCCACGCCCCCTAGAGGCGGCCCCCTCCGCAGTGGGCGCGCGTGGTGTCCAGGTTTCGTGGAAAAACGGGGTTTGTTTCTGTCTAGGGAGTTACTTTACTTTTGATTTCCTTGCTAGTCGGATAGGCCCAAGAGGCGCCCTGATGCCTTCACTGTTCCCTTTTGTCAGCCCCGCAGAAGGCCTTAGATCTCGGCACAGGCCTGCAGGCTAGGGTCAGCCTGGAATGGGATCGCTTTCAGCCTGGTCTTCCTGCGAGGACAGGGAACTTGAGAATTTGCCTACGCCTTCCGGGTCTTGGGCTCCAGGAGCTCTCCTCTCCGCGACAGGCAGCGTCCTTTAGCCTGTGCGCGCTTCCTGGATATCTGTGGTCAAGCTAGAAAATTGAGGGAGGCTCCCCGGGGCTCAAATGTGCCCAGCCAACTGAGCAGAGATAGGATTGACGCCCCCTTTCTGTCCATACAGCAGGTGGAGCAGTTCAGCTATCATGGAATAAACATTCGGCACACAGGACAATAGCCATCTTATTATTATTTTTTTTTAAGTTTCACATCATTAAAAAAACGCAGCTTGTAGAAATAAATTTACAAAAAGGTGAGATGGTTCTGTAAGACCCCCAATATCACGTGCGTGAACAATGTAAGCACATATGTATCCACAGTACTTCCAGAATAAAATCACTCTGAATATTTTAAAGTCTGCTCCTAGAAACATTTGTGACTATTGAATATACAATGGATCATCAAAATAGAATTTTGTAAAGAACAGAGGGTAGGCATTCTTAAATGGTGTTTTAGGTCACTACAAAAAGTAAGTGCCACAAGTAGAGCCAAGGCTCCTGCAAGGTGCAGGGGAAGAGATACTTGTCCTTGTGTGCAGAACTCAGGACTCTGAACTTCACCGTGGAAGATGGGACGGCATCAAAGGAATATTAAACAGGAAAGTGGTGTGACCAGACTTTCAATTTAGAAAGTCTGCCTCTCTGAGATGTGGATAGTGAAATTTGAGGAAGCTGTGGGGGGAACATGAAGACTATTTAAGTAAATGTGCTAATATTCCACATAAGATAGGAAGATGGTACCAATTATGGAAGTAGCTTTCAGAGTACGAAGGAACTGACTGTATAGCAAACACACTGCACATGCAGAAGCCAGAGACATAGCAGAACCCACCATTTTAGGAGGTGACCCAGTGATTTGTTTTGTTTTGCTTTTTTTTTTTTTTTTTTATGAATTTAGGACAGGTCTACAGGGTGTACGGGATCTCACTACATAGATTGGACTTGTAGTGATTCTCCTGTTTTCAGCCTCCCAAGTGCTGGAATTACAGGCACATGCCATCATGTCCAGTCTCAACACAGTCATTTGTACAGGACCAAAAGACAAGGAAATGTTTTAATGGCTATCCTCATGAAATTAGTTATTTGTTCTTTTAAATTTATAAAAAATATTTGGATCAAGGACATGTCTCACGACAGGGTGAGTTTCAGCAGAAGCCTGAGCAGAGGAGTGCCTTTGGCTGCATGTAAGACTCTGGAGCTTGGGACACTCAAAGATGTAGAGGATATCCAGTGTGCTGGCTGGTGATGTAGCTTCGTACTCGGTAGCATGAACACCACAACTGCTGACCACCAAGTATATTCCACGGAGGAATTATGTTATATGAGCATATAAAACAGCAATTATAAACAACTTTGAGAAATGAAAAATCTTTTATTTTTTATAAAACTTTTCATAAATGCATTTTATATTTTATATGCATGCTATTATAACAAAGCAAATGAAAATATAGTTACAGTTAAGATACTTTTATGCATTTTAAAAAGTAATATCTTAATCCTCTCAATTTTCAAAAATTGAAAGTTGAATAAGCAATTCTTCAAAAATATCTATTTTTCCTCCATGCAATCATTGCAATGATTTAATAAGGAAAATTAAAATAAGTCAAATGAATGTTTATATGCCACTGTCATCTCATGAACATCTTTTCCACTTGGGACCAGGTTTAGAAATGTTTGTATTCCAAATATTTATCTGTCACCTCTGAGTTCCAACAATCAGTATGTTCTCACTGAAGAGCTGGGGCTTGGTCCTCACTGCATGCTAATGTCATTCTTACTGTAGTTGATTGTAGACTCACAGACAGGAGTATATAGCATACTTTAGAGAAAACTTAAAGACTGTTAGGATCCTTTTTTCTTTTGATTTAAATAGGTCCCTAAAAATGAACTTGCAAGAAAATACAGCCAACTTATAGTTTACCAGTTTTACATACGATCATTCATTCTTTTTTTTCCTGAGATAATAAGCAAGTTTGAAAGTACTCTTTTCATGCAAAAATACATTTCCCCTCTTTACATTCATATTATAGTATTTTGTATTGTACATAACTTTATCACATTTGTGCTTTATACAGCTGGAATATAAAGAATAATTCATTTTATTTATTGCAGAAAAATAAGAGATCATTGGTTCTTTGATGGATAATACAATCAAATTAACTGCTAATTATCAGTTGCTAAAACTTTACCTGATTGTAAAATTCCCAATGGAAATAATCTGGTTTTATTCATTTTTGTAGTTTTATGTAAATTTAGAATGAAAGAGAGACCATGTATGAGGGAGAGACATTTAGTCCTGGACTTCAGAGCATGAGTTCCTAGAACATGGAGCTAGACATATTTACTACTTGGGCCAACGTCTCCTCTCCTGCCTAGGGAGAAATCTCTAAACTATAGAGACATCTTTTATGACAAAAGGAAAATAAATTGATGCATATTGTTTTATACACAAGAGGATTGGTATGCAAAATGTGAGCTACTAATGTACTTTAATTAGAAATAAGTAAAAAGGCCAAACATTTAAGGATATACTTATGCTTGGGGCTGGGGAGATGGCTCAGTAGAATAAGCACTTCCCCGGCAAGCGCAAGGGCCTGAGCTCAATCCCCACTTCTGAAAAAAAAAAAAAAAAAGAATACACTTATGCTTAAGGAATTGATTTTCTGTTATACTTTAGGCTTAAACAAGCCCCCATACCTCTGTGAATATGGTTCTTACTCATATAGCTTTTTCTACACTGGTTAAAAAGAAACACCATTTTTTTCCCCAAAACAAAATATAAGATTGGGAAATCTGAGGCAAAATAGATCGCTTCATTAGTATGTATCATTTCTTCTTTACTGTGAAATTAAGTGGAGTTAGAAGAAAGATAGATGTCTGTGCAAAGTATTGGCTCCACCTTTTCCAGAGCTACTGCACTAACCCATTTATTGGCCCAAATGTTATGGTTTCCACACAGATCAGAACATCTAGTAAAAGCACATGATCTTCTGAGTGACAAAAAGAAATCTCACATTGTCTATCATTAATAAGAGCTACCATGAGAGATAAAGAAAAGCAAAATACGTTGAAAATAACTTGCTTGAATTACAATGTTCAAAATTCTTTTGGAATCAAAGCCAATTATGAAATTTTGTCGAATGGAAATACAATGGAAAACTCTTTTCTCTGAAATGTGAAGATACCTGCCCTTAAAATTGTGTAATTGCCCAACTTAGGTGGTGATTTTCACTTTTAAATGATCAAATAGATATTAAACATTTAAAAATCTAAAGGTACACAGATGTGACCTATTTTAAGTGTATGTTTAGTCAGAAGTGCCTTTAAAAATCAATGTGCATAAACCTAGCTCATTTGTTAAGTGTCAAATCTGTAAGTGTAACTGTAGGTATTCAGAGACGTTACCTAAGTAATATGTGAAAAACTGAACAAATACATCAAATGAAGCAGCGGCCCACTTCTGACAAGAATGAAATATAATTGTATAATGACTGGTGCAGAGTCACCCAATAGGCCTGTGTGGTTCACATTAGATTTCCTCCAGGTAGGAGTTCTTTCCCTGGAACACTAGGCACATATTTTGATTTCACACATGAATAGCATATGAATTGTTCATGTGCTTGCAGACTTCTGTCCTTATAAAAGAAAAACACTCTAGGGACTATGCCTTCTTTAGGTGTACCTTTTATAGCTTGGAACTGAACTGCTGATCATATGAGGGATTTAATTATTCAAATTCTTGGCACCCAGGTATAGGTTGGGTTTATCTACCTAATTCTCAAAAAGAGGATTTTATGGTTCAATTTAAAATTCTAAGAATGAAATCATTCCTTGGCAGATACTTCTCTACGATGGACCTATGGAGTTGCCTAGGGCCATTTTGAAGAGATTTTTCAAAATGATATCATTGCAAAATTATCTTCTTTGGAAATAACATCTACTTCTCACATCCTGCTTTGATAGTCATATTGAAAGACAACGAAATTGTTCAGAATTGCAGCCATACTGAACTTCCCAGCTTCAGTATGGGCATTTTGAGAATGGAAGAAAGACCTCAACAAGGAGCGTTAACTGCTGCCCACCCTGAGAAATAGCTGTCAGTTTCTTGTTTAAGCCTCCCCCAAGGGTTGGCTTTTTACAGAGCCGAGAGACATCTTTTAGAATTCATTATAGTAAGAAGTCTAGGAACATATGCATACTATCCGCAGATAGTTTTACATTACATTTTTGTAGGTAGTTTCTGAATGTTTTAATGAGACTAAGAAATGAGAAAATGTATTGAAAGAGCTCTCGTTAGTTGTTACATAAATATAACATTTGTTTTAAGAATATTGAATTTGCATTTTTCACGAATAAAAGTAAAAAGTGAACTTTTCACATCAAGGACTGCCATTTTTTAATCATGTGTTGAGTTATGTTTTATTTTAGCATGATTTTGTGTACCTTGTTTTAATTTATAAATCTGATTTACTTGTGATTTTAGCAATCAGTTATTGAATGAGGTAGCCCACATTGCGTAAATATTTGACATATCTGGTTATTATTCTGCAAATAAGTACAATATATCAGTTGTTTTTCCTTTATGTTTAATAAGAGTTTCATGAATATTGAGAATATATTACTTTAAGTGGTACACAGTTCTTAAGAAACTGTCTTGATTTTTACATTGCCACTTGAGATTTTTTAGCAGCTTTCTATAGTATCTCATTTTAATAAAAATAAAGTATACTCAGTGATGATAGAGAAAATATTGTTAAAGACCTCTTGGGACAGGAAAAGGCTCAGTCACAAATCAGGTGCTTCTTCATTTTCAGCTGTGTCGTTCTGCCTCATTACTTTCAAGGATAGCGATGATACTGCTGCACAGCCTGTTACGCTGAGAGCTGTGCCTGAACTTCACAGGGAGGTTGAGTAAAGCTCTTCTATCTGTTTTTTGAAGTATTCTCTCAGCTCAGGCCTCTTAGCCTTTAGCGTTGGTGTCAGCAAGCCATTCTGAACCGAGAACATGTCACAGTGGATGTAAATGGCTTTCACCTAAAAACCAAATGCAGAGTACTTTTTTAAGAGGGAAAAAACATGGAATAAATAGCACACATGGAAAAAGTAAACAGGTGTATATGGATAGATGGATATACAAGCACTATGTTAAGTCTACATTGTATCGCTAACACATCAGCCTCTTGGACCAACCTAAAAGCCATCTGTTTCCTTCCTACTCGTCCACGTTGCCAACTCAAAGGAGCATATTGCTTGCTTGCTCTGCTTGCCCTGTGCTGGGCCCAGATGTACACAGAGGAGTCACAAAGGTCCTCAGGAAGTGCAGGTTCACGTCTAGTAGAGCAGGCAGAGACACACTGGGTGGTTATTCATCCAGTATGCACAGGCTCTAGCCCATTTATGCCAATGGCGAGGGAGCAGCAGAGCAGCAGTCAGGGAAGACTTCCCTAATAGTGCCAAGAATGAGTAATAGGCGGTCAATGAGCAAACCGGGAGAGGTAGATGGAGAAGAGCACTGGAGTCAGAGGCAACCTAAGGACAAACCAGGGGAGGGAGGTGGGACGGTGGCATGAAGGGAAATCCAAGTGGTTTCTTATGATTACACAAAATAGGGGGCCAAGTGTGTGTAAGGAGTGAAAATGAAGTGGCAGGAGAGCGCGCTTATGGAGGAGCTCAGACTTACTCGAAGACAGCAGGAAGGGGGTGAAGGCTTTAATACAGAACAATGACATAGCCAGATGTACATTAATAAGAGATTTCTCCAAGAGAAATGGAAAGATGATTTTTGAGAAAGTTAAGGCTGGAAGCAGGGAAACCAATCAAAAGGATCTGACCAATTCACAGAAAAGAGGAGGGCCTGCACATATGGCAGTGATAGACAGAGACAAAGCATTCGAACTGATTCAGATAAGTGGACAAAGATGTGCGAGGAGGGAGGCAGGCTCGAAGGCTCCCAGGGTTCGGCTTGGCTGGCTGGAGGCTGGTGCCATGCATAGGAGGACTCGAAAGTCTGCGAGACTAAAGCTAAAGTTGAAGGTAGAACAAAAAGTTCTGCCACGAAATGTTATCACATTCCTCAGTAAGGGGTCGTATTTAGGGTTTGCGTTTTCCACCTCCAAGAGTCAGAACTTGGACCTCCTCCTTCAAAGTCTGCAAAGTGGACTGGGAACAAGAAAGGGGAGAGGGACTAATCTAGGAGGGCCTGGTCAGGCCCTCCCACATGGAGACCAGCAGCAAGGCTTACATCACCATCTCTGTCAGGCCTGTGAGAGTTTATGATCTAGGACTGGGCTGAAGCCTGAGGTCACTCTGTCACCAGGCACTTGTAGCCTGACCACTGGGCCAAATCCAGTGACTTTTTTGTGATAACATGCTCATATCATTAGATAATGAGCAGTTATGAATTTCTACAATACATTTAAGACAATCAAAACGTATGTTAAATACACATATCTATTCACTCACTGGTTGTTTTATGGAATTGATATTGAGCAACTATTATGGACTCAGGCCTTATGTTAGCCATCAGATACACAGAGACAAGATCCAGTCCCTAACCACATGGAGCTTATAGTAGCAGGAGAGATGCTGCAGTATAACATAGCTATTATGGGTATAGGCGCCAAGCTACCAGCGGCTTCCCCAGTATTCATTCACCTCCTCCAAGCTAATAGAACTTAGAGCTTGCTTGGGGCCTACACTGTCTAATGTTGATCATCACATCCCTTTTTCCTGATTTCTCAGACCCCCTGCAACTAAAGGAGAACCACGCAATTGGTATTTGGCCTGTGAGAAAGAAAATATTTTGCTTTCCTAATAAAGGGTTCAGACATGGCTAACTCTACCTACATTCACTTCTTCCTTCATTGAGTATGAACAATGCCCAAAGCTGTGGAAGCCTCCAGGCTTTGTGATCAGAAAGTGATGAGCCAACATACTCAGAATGGATGGAAGAAAGATAGGAAGAGGACTAGCTTGATAGCTCAGTGGACTAATGCGCCTGCTTAGGTAGAGTTCAAGGACCAGGGTTGGATCCCTGCTGTGCCATGCTGGCCCCGCCCCCGCAGCGCACTGAGACTGCCATTGAGGCAGAGCATGGTGGCGCAGGCCTGTAATCCCAGTGTTTGGGAAGCTGAAAACAGGTGGATCACTACAAGTCTGACCTATGTAGTGAGACCCTGTAGACCCTGTACTAAATTAAAAAATAATAATAATAAATCATAAGAAGAAAAAAAAGATAGGAAGAGCCCAGGTCTTTGCATACCTGCACCTCCCTGGACCATCTATTTTTCAACTTCTTATAGGGGAAGACGCCAGCCCAGTGTGTTTAAAGCAGTTTTCTGATAAAGTGGTCTGCATCTCTCATCTACTACCCAACCCAGGCTTGGGCAAGAGGAATTGAAGAGGGAGGCCTGAGCTGAACTATGAAGGACAAACAGGCTTCCGCCAGATGGGGAAAGCATGAGGGTGGCAAGAGGCTGTCCATGGCCTGACGGGAGGAAGGTATGCGTGCCAGGCTCAGACAGGCGCTCTGGGAGGTGCCCAAGGGGAACTGTGAGCTCAAGCCTAGTTTTCAGCGATAACCCTGTCTCCAGAGCAAAGAGGTTAAAAAAAAAAAAAATAGGCTGGGCATTTAGCTCAGTGTGAAGGCCCTGAATTCAACCTGCAGTGTAGGGAGGGATGGGGCAAAGCAAGAGAGCGGGGCGAACTGAGAGAGAGACAGAGAGAGACCGAGACAGAGAGAGACAGAGAGAAGGAAGGAAGGAAGGAAGGAAGGAAGGAAGGAAGGAAGGAAGGAAAGAAAGAAAATGAAGGAGAAAAAGGTGAAAGACAGAAAAAGAGAAAGAGAGGAGTAATAGGAGGGAGAAAGAGATGGGCTGAAGTGATTGGCCAAATTAAACAGGATTAATACACCTCACTAGGAATTTTAGACATGACCCTTTACACAATTTTTATGCACTAAGAAACTGAACTAGAATGACTCCTTGGAAAGATTACTGTATTAAAGCTTGAAATCTTTCCGGGCCACCCAAGTGGACCTTGGTCATAGATGTATTAGTCTGGAGGGCAGAGCTACATCCCGGGCTTGAGACAGCAAGAGAATGCCATGACAGCAGGAAGGGATCAGAGCGTGTTCCACAGGCCAGCACATGAGGGAGAAGTGACATGCCAGCTGCCACTGTCCTAAGAATCTCCTCATATGGTCCACACATCAATGATTGTTGTCACAGCCTCTGAGGCTAACAGGCTACTGTCCCAATGGGGGGTATTCGAAGATGGCAAGGAGCTCCTTGCTCCAAAAGCTCTTTATTACATTCTCTGACTTTGCTGATCAAAAATCCAATACATCAAGAAAACCCCTGACATACCTATACTTTCAACTTTTAGAAAGCTTTTAAGAAAATTTATAACATATTCTGGTATTTTAATTCATATTTGTAATTAAAGAACATGAAAGTTTTCAAATAACATTAATCAGATGTATCTTTGTCTCTAAGAAATTTGTTCCAGTGAAGGGTTCACAGAGCCAGCCAGATAGCTCAGCAGATTAAAGCGCCTTCTTAGGCAGATGCAGGGGACCAGGCTAGATCCCCACGTGCTGTGCCGGCTCCACTCCCCCTTGGGAGGCTAAAAGCAGGAGGATCACTATGAGTCCGATCTGCATAGTGAGACCTTGTAGACCCTGTACTAAGTACAAAAAATAAAAAATAAAGAAAAATAAAAGAAAGAAAGAAAGGTTTACTTTTGTCTTAAAGTAACTTACTTCTATGAGAACAACATTTGAAGGGATTTAAATGTGTGTGTAAACTTTATGCTAAACCTGTAGCTACCATTCTGGGTAGCTGTCTCAACATTATTGAAGGATTTCTACCTAGCTACCCACTATAAATAGCTGGTTATTTGAGGCTCTGAGCTAAAGAAGAGATATTGTGAAGCATTTCAAAATTAATTAAAGTTCTTGCGAGAAGTACTTTGGTTGAAAACTCACTGTGTTTGCCATTCAAAGAAGGATTTGGTCAGGAATAGGGCAGGTGCCCCTTGAAGGTATACTTATTAGTGAAATAAACCAGACCCACATCTGTAAATATCATACTATCTCCCTAATATAAGGACTTACAATTCCGTATATGACTAGGTTTCTAAATTTCTTTGTAAAAATATGTAAATGCTTATTTCTACTTTTATATAATTATTTTTCCTTCATATTCTG